CTGCAATAGTGTCATCATCTCGACGACACTCATCGATCCTAGTCATGTTAACTAGCTGTACAGCAGTGGGGGGAGTTTAGGGGTGTAGGATTTGTTTTGCCTCTCGCATGGCTAGAGTCGATGCCGGTGCTCGTCACTATCGCGACTATACCCCAGATGTGTTGATCTTAAGATTGACTTGCGTTCGCAGTTTTTGCTGGTGAAAGGCGGTGCAAGCCTCAGGGCGTATTTCTGACATGTATTAACTACTTCTCGGACAGGCTCGTCCAGGGAGGCGAAACAAAACGTTGCATCAACATGCAAACCCTAGCCCGCAATTGAACAAACTATAATGGCGACATTAGCCCGCATTTGCGCACGACCCCAAACCCTCTGAGTTGAAAACGCCCCACACCCTGAACTCCCGAAAAGAGACCCCCCCCCCGCCGCCCTTGGTTTTCAATGAATGCCCCAAAGCCAAAAAAAAAAGGCTTAAGGCAGCGCCGAGCCCGGAGCCTTGAAGCGAGCGATGCTCTCCGTGTCCGTGCTTTCCTTCAGTATCTCCAGGATCTTTCGCATTTCCTTGGGACGAAGGCATACCCAGAGGCCCCATAGTAGTTCCTTTTTGGGGGTTCATATATAGAATCCTATAAGGTAATCCCGAAAAGGAACTACTACGGGGCCTCTGGGTAGAAGCTTAAGCTGAACTCTAAGCCCGCCCCAGACGTGTACTCTAAACCCCCCCCTCTCTCGCGCCCAGTCTCGAAGCTCCGAGCCCGAATCATTAAATCCTGAACGCTGAGCCCTAGTTGCAAGTATTGCAGGGGCCTTAATAATTAGAACAGGGTTGTGGGGCCCATAGTACTAAAATCATAAACTTGGAACTCACAAAATAGTTTAGATAACTATTCAGGCCCCTATATTTCCTCAAGTACATCAACCTCCAGCTTTCAGCCGGTAAGTCCCACCATTTGGAAGACTCGGGAGCCTCGACCGGCCCGCAAAAAGGACTTCAAGATGCAATGTAAGGACCTTATTCGTGCGAACACGGCTTTGGGGTACAGAATACTATGTAGAGATTGGGGGTACAGAATACTACGTATGGTAGAGTAGGAACCCGAAGGAGTATAGTAACCATCCGGGCTTCTCTACCAATATTATGCGCTGTAACTGACACCAACTACATTAAGAACTAGGCCGGATTCTGTATGGTTAGATTGAGGCTGAGGCTTCGCTCTTCCATTTTAGGATTTCTGGGTGTATGTGGTACTTCGGCTGTATAAGAACTATAGCACCAAAGCAAAGACATGTACACAAACATCAAACTAACTCCTCTGCAATAGCCCTCTGCTCTTCCCCAATTACTAATATACGGCGGGTGAAAACCTAAACCTAGTTTTGGTTAAGGCTTGGAGGGCGTCAAACCAAGGTCGTGATGCTGGAGTTCTATAAGGGACGCCCTCTACTTTCTTACAGCTTCCTTCAAAGCCAGCGCCCAAATGGGAGCTTCCGAAAATAGGGGTACCTTATATTGGAGGGTCCCTATAATAAGGATCCTACTATGTAGGGTACTATATTAGGGTCCCCCATTTTCGGAATCTCCCAAATGAATTTCTTCAAGCCTGAGCAACTCCAAGCTGCAACACCCGGAAACCCTCCGTACGGTGAAGCCCCGAGCTTTGGAAGCTCATGGTTCAGTGAACTTGCTGAACCTTTTGCTTCTGACAATGCTGAACGCTTTCCTGGGGAAAACTCACTAAAGCGCAATCACGACCATGAGCGACGGGTCCGTCAAAGACTGACACCTTCCGCAACACAACCTGGAACCTCACAAACACCCTCCGATGCTGTCCAAGTATCGGCACGTGCCTCGGCGGCCAATCCAGCGAGACCACTGTTAGAAGCAGAGAGGGCAAAGGTGAGAAGCCTTGGATGCATGGCCCTGCTGGAGTATGTTCGAGGACAAAGCTGCAGCGCTTTCAGGTTCAGAGCGCCACAAGCCAAATGCAAACACCCCGATAGAAATTCACGACTTGCAGAGCTACACGATGTAGCTGTAGCCAAAAACGCCTTAAGATTCACAAGAAGGAAGTGCCCGCAAGCTGTCAGCATATTCTGACTTCAGGGTGGCAAGGGTACTTACACATTTCGAGATCTCTCTCCATACATCACAGAACATCACATTGCACAGCACTTTTTGCATTACACTGCCGTGTACGGAGTCACACAACCTCGCATTGCATTACGTCTAAACCTTCGTTTACACCTAGTTACGTACCAGTACCCCAGCTTCAGTTTCAGACTGCGCGCGGCTCCTGTAGTTGGAATATGGACTGAGACTGGAGAGCACATCCGCTGATGCGCTTTTCGCTGCAGGCTCCTTTCGGCCGGAAAGAACGCCGTGAAGCCGCAACTAACCACAACCCGCCACCGCTTTCTGCTGCCTCAGGAACCTTGTGGGATCCTGCGAAGCAATCTCTGTCTGAAGGAGGCCATCCAGCGCCTTGGGACAAAGCGGAAGGGACACTTGCCGGCCACTTTTGGAAAGGACTGGAAATCCAAGACGAATCGAATCCTAGGTCCTAGATACCCCGAAGAGAATGTGCGAGGTCTTTTGAGCTGCTTCAAAGCTCGGCTTGGCTTGCACCTGGTTCAAGAAGCTGAGCGTCCTGGCACCCTGTAAGCACTGGGATGCCCGAATACAGTCGTAGGATCCTGGCTCTATGGACACCTGAATGAGGTACCCCGGCAACAAAGAAGTCCCACATCCCGAACTCGAAAGAAGCGGATCGGAGACATGGGCCTTCTTGATTTGCTCGCCGACACTGGGTGTAGCCTGCAGGGGTTAGGGTCGCGGTTCTGTCTCTCGTCAAGCATTGTCGAAAACTCACCGGGCAAAGGGCGAAGGCTTGCGCGACGGCGGGTCTACACACACACACATATATATATATATGTACATATACATATATATATATATGTAGGTACTTAATTATTTAATCCTTCCTGTGCTACCGCAGTAAGAACTGTAGAGACTGTGCTGTGACTACACTATACTTCTCGGCTGTGACTTTCAAGACAAGTCATGGGGGTTGATCTGAAACTGGCTTCATGCTCTTGCATACTTTGCTTTGCACCAGAAATTCCATCAAAAACGAGGGTGCTGACTGCGGAAAAAGACGTGCAGATTCGCTGTTGAAGATGCGACTCCGGTGCCTGAAGCTACGGCGGGCAAAGCGGCTCTTAACATCCAAAGCCCAAAACTCAGCCACTCATGTTCCACAGCTACTGCTGCTACTGCTACTGCTACTGCTACTGCTACTACTCCTACTACTACTGCTATTACTTCGACTAGCAGTGGTTGTCGTCGTCGTGGTAGTAGTAGCAGTAGCAGCAGTAGTAGTAGTAGTAGTAGTAGTAGTAGTAGTAGTAGTAGTAGTAGTAGTAGTAGTTGCAGTAGCAGCAGCAGCAGTAGTAGGAGTAGCAGCAACAATGATCATCGACATCATCACCATCATCGTGACAGTGATTAGCAAACGAATGGTGTTGATATGTGTTCATAATGAAAACAATCAGCGTCCTGAACCTTCATGCTTCGACATCAACACAAACCAGCTCACCCAGGCCTTTTTCTTCCTCCCCACTGCCGGCAGCGTCACCTGCTCCACCTTTCAGAGGCGACGATTTGGTGGACTTGTTTTTCAGATGAGTTCAGGACCAGGATTTAGGGTGTCAAATCAGAGCTGTCTGTCTTACTACAACTGCCAAACAGGTTTACGTTGCAGAAACTGACAAGGCACCATGCAGCTGTCGTTTAGACAGCGCTTCTCCAGTTGCAGTCGGAGACACTTGTGAGCTGAGCCCCCTCGCATGTCACGAGTCGAACGGCTTTCTGCTTTGAAAACGCCAACCAAGCCAGAAGTGAAGTGCAGCTTCGTGGCGCGATGTTACAAATTTACTGACTAGTTCTATATTCCGACCCCTGCCAAAAGCGAAAAATGCCCAAGACCCGCCTGGCACTCCTGGGCCTTCTGTTGCATCTTGGCCAGAGCGGCTACGCCTTTCTCCACCCCTGCGCCTTGCGCATCCTCAACCTGCACGGAGGCGAGCGTCAGCTCTTTATGTATCGCACCTCAAATTCAGAAACATCATCTTACCACCACTGCGACAACGACGGATGCTACGACGACAAGGCAGCTACTGCCATCAGCAGTAACACTACTGCTGACAATAACACAGACATGACACCAAAGCCGGATTATCATCCAACATAAACCATAATCAGGGATTTATCAACCAACGAACGGCAGCTAATGCAGCAAATGCCGGTTGCATGCTCGAAGCTGCTTCTTGCGATTTCTTCGACTCAGTCAGTGCAGCCTGACGTCCTATAGCAGCGGGACGACGTTGGGTTCATTTGGAGCTGATGTTCAAGCACTTCATGGCCCTTACATGCACGAATTTTGGGTGTCTCAACTACATCCTAACTGCTCGTGCAACGATCTCTGCGCCTGTTTGGTGAGCATCGCCAGTGCCCTCGACTGAACCTGTGGCCACTTCCACCGCATCGTTGTCTGGATGCACTGGAGGACCTCAGAAGGAAAGTTCGATGCCTGGCTACACGGCGATGGTCCTGCCAGAAGAACTTCTGGCGAGCAGGCATGACTTCGACTCGGGAGAGACATCGGCTGCTTGGAGAGGGTGGGTCAGTGGTCTCGTGGCTCCTTTGCGGTGATGTCTGTACGTGACGCGCAGGTGTCTCAGCTGCATAGTGTGATCTTGCTGGTGATTCCATCGCAAGACTTGGAACAAGCGAACTGTATGTATATACATGCCGACCTTAACACAGGACGACCTAACATTGGCCAGGATTGGCCAAGACCCTGCCATCACAAACGCACATGCATGTCAGAGAAGCAGGTCACTATTGCAGGCTCGTCGCTCCTTCTGGGTCCTTAGTGCGCAATGCAGTGCTGCACATCTCAGACGTGCCAGGGCTCCTTGCAATGAGAAAGAGTGTTGACTCATAACTCGTGAATCTTGCAGGAGTCTTTAGAAGTGGCTCGACGTTCCAGGGATGCCATGAAGTGACTGACAAAGCGGCGAATCCGAGCAACCAGCTGCCGCGTAATTTGCACATATATAACCGTGACGAAGCATACATCTGATTCATCCAGCATTACCACTCCCTCCACGCAGATGTGGTGTCCAAGCTGCTTTCTCGGAGGAACCGAGGACAGTTTCCACCTCTGGCAAAGTCGGCAGGCATACGAAGATCCTATGATCGTCCTATAAACGACCAGAAGACGCAAGCTCTGTAACGTAGGAATCTGATTAAGAAACCTTGGGCCTTTATTGGGGTTCCTTATATGAATCCCGCTATTTTGGGATTATAGGCCCAGGGTTTCTTTATCAGGTTCCTACATTACTATAGTACCCTCCTAGTAGTAAGCCTTATAGACCCCTTTAAAGGAACCCTAAAAACAGGGCCCGTGAATCCAGGCCTCTGCCCGGCCCATCAACTCTCGCTCTTTCCAGCGGCCGAGGACTTCTTTGAAGACGGCCTTGGCTTAGTGTCGGGGCTTTGCAGTTAACAGCTAGATCGTTTTTTGTCTGGGGGGGGTGGTGGTGGTCTTTTTATACTATAGTCATAATAAGGAACCGCCAAGGGGTATATTACAAGGATTTTTTGCAAGGTCTTTACAATTGGGGTCTGCAGGGGCTTCTTTTCGGTCCTGGGTTCGGAGCGTTTCGGGTGTTGTGATGGGAGCTTAAAGGGGGGTCTAAGATTCTTGGGGTAGGGGCTCCTTATTATGAACCCTATTATGGGAACCCGAATCCCTACTAAACCCCCATAACCCCTTTTGGCCTCCTATGATTTTGGGGTTCGGGATGTCGGGGTTTGGGGCGTAGGATAGGGGTGCTTGAGGGAGCTCTGCAAGGTGCGGTTGGGAATTTTTCTTCTGGCTGTAAAGGTCTGCAGAGCTGGGTGGTTGAAGTGTAGGTCCTAGGGAGTGTTCTCTCTTCTAGTCTCTCGACCAATATTCCTTAACCTTAAATGCCCTGTTGCCTTTATGAACCCTTGTAAGCCATAGCTGCAGTCTCCATTGTACTTCCCTTTTGTGGTTTAACCAGAGTTACATTATTGATCCTGAAAGGTAACTCTACAATGGAGACTATGGGTGGTTCCTTATTCTGATGTCCTTTATACGATCTTTTTTGGTAAGTTGTTCAGGGTTAATCTAGAACCTTCCTGGGTATCCAAAAACCTACTGTTTTAAGGGTTATACCCTCGAATTAAGGGGTCATAACCTACTATTTTGTAGGGTTTGGGGATACAGGTAGATCGGAACCCATGGCTGGGCCCCCGGCTTTCACCTCGTCATCTTCCGCGCCGGTGACTTTGAAGTCCTGACAAGTAAGGATCCGGTCCGCGAGTCGTCTTTGGTGCCTTGTTTTAACCCGTACTGAGGCCGATGATGTCATAGGAGCCGTATATAATAATAAGTAGAACGTGGGAATATAAGTCTAAAGAAGGTGATAATATTACTACTTCTTTCGACCCTTGTTGAATTCTCGCATCCATTGGCGATGCTCAAGGCACCTGGAAATACACTGTCACCAACACTGCGCCGTGATGATTCACATGATTATTCTTACTACTCCTGTCTTCGCCAGTTGGGAGTTTCCTACAACAGGGGACCCTGATATGGTGGACCCATAGTACCCTAAATAGTAGGATCTTTATCATAAGGACCCCCGAATAAGGTACCCCTTATTTTCGGAGACTCCCAGTTCTCATGCTCAACATCAGATGATTGCTATGGCAAGTTGAAGGCACCAAGGACTCCAATCGAAGTCGAAGAACTAAAGCTGGGGGATCCAAAAGCTTCTTACGATTGGAAACCCTAGTCTCTCGCTCTATCTGACTCTCTCTCTTCCTTTAACCTCACTCTGACGAGGTCGTATCAGAAGCTCTTGAAGAAATGGTGATGACTACTTGCTGGATTTCTGTGGCTGGCGACGCCCGCTTCAAATTCATAAGAGTCCAAGGGTGCAAGGCATCTGAGCTTTGTTGAAGCTAGCGGACCCTGCTGCAGATCAAAGATGCTATGATCTCTTTCCAAAGGGTCCTTATTACTCGTACCTAAACCCCCCAAAGTAAGTAAAACAATAGCCTGATACCTATAAAAGTATAAAAGGCTATTATTCTACATACCTTGGGGGCCCAGGTAATCGCGATCTTTCTATTTACCGCGTTCGTGTTCCGCTTCTCTCCACCCTCGGTGTGGGGTTGTTAGATTTTAAAGTCAGCCATTACTCCTCGCCCCGCTGAGATTACCTCCTGGAGTACCCAACCCCACAGACTACCGTAAGAATACCGTGAGAATCCCTGGAGTTCCCAACCCCACAGACTACCGTGAGAATCCCTGGAGTGCTCGGGAACACCAGGGTTTAAGGTTTAGGCTCGGGCTCTTTAGGTCTTAGGATATGCTTGTAGGAAGGACAAGGCGCTAGGGTGGGGATGTTCGAAGAAAAAATATTTTTTTCTGGCCTTGAGAATCTTCTTTGCCTTGTCCGTGGCTTTGTCCCACTCAGGCTCGAACCTGGACGCGAGGCGCAATATAGTATACAATATATTACATACTATATCATATAACATAAACAAAACATAATATTCTATATAAGATCCCAGAGACTCCAACATCCCTTAATTAAGGAATATTCCATAAATTATAGTAGGATCCCTAATATGATTTAAGGAATATTCCTTAAATTATAGCAGGATCCCTAATATGAGTTAAGGAAAATTCCGTAATGAAGGGGTACTGGAGTCTCTGGAAAGCACAAAGCAGGGAACTAGCTAGCCCTGCCGATGCTGAGCTGTAGGGCTCTCGGGCTCTATGGGGCTGCAGGCGGTCTGGCGGTCTGGCGGCCTTGGGGCGGGCTTGAAGACTTTTGGCGCTCACACTCGAACAAGAAGGCTTTAGGGTTCCAGGACTGGGTGCTTTGTGTTGACCCCCGACAAGAAAAACCGACCGAAACTTTGAATTTAAATGAGGCGCACATAGCTACGCCTAGTCAAGTCGAAGGAGAAAACAGATGCCCTTCCCAAGCACAAGAAGCGGAAACACCGTGTAAGCTGTGAAAGCCTCTTGATTATCCGGTTGAGGGCTTGAGTTTTATCCAGGGTTTAGGGTCGTTTAGGGTTTTGGTGGCTTTAGGCTCCACGCGGCTTCAGGCTTTCGGCGCTCACACTCGGACGCTTCAGGCTTTAGGGTCCTTCGGGTTGTTTCACTAACTCCGAGGCTGCCAGGACAAGGGGCACCGAAGCAGTAGAATTTGCTTTTGGGGTCTACTATGTTACTCAGTACGAGAACTCTATCCTGTCGATTATGGTATAGGGCTTATATATATATGGGGGTCATAATAGTACTAAAAATTCCAACGCCACGTGCAAGCTTTGACTTGGCAGCACAGGACACTACTTATCACAGCCAGCACCACCGAAGACGCTGAACATGAGGACCGTAGTCATAAGGATAGACGTCTAAGGCAGCGGCTCTTTGAGACGTGCCTGCAGCGCTTCCAGGACCTGTGGGCCGAGTATGTGCTGCTCCCGCTTCCAAATAGCATAACAACAAGAGTTCTATACACACATATATATGTATGTATATATATGTATATGTATACGTATATGTGTGTATATATATATATATATATATATATATATATATTGTATTTCTATACGTGTGTGTGTAGGTATATATCTATCTATCTATACATACATACCTACATACATACATACATACATATGCACATTACAGAAACATGCATATACAAGGGCTTGTTTCAATCAACTTAGTATGACAAGGATCCCTACGGAATACTGTTGGTATTTCTTGAGGCCCCCATTGCGTCGGTCTTGAAACTGTCACAACCCACCCGCGGACTCCATAGCGAGGTTTACGCCGCTGTACAAGGTACCGGAAAGTTTCCCTCAATGCGTGGGCTGCAGAGCTTCAAGGCGTTTCCAACTATCTTTGAATACACATGCAGCCATGTTGCAATGTGAACATGTTCCGAGACAGTCTACCATAATAACGAGAAGACACACGTATGTATACAGGTGTAAACGTGCACATGCACAGCTTGATTAATATGCCAATCGTATGTACATGCGACACATACTACATCACTATGCACCCAGTTCGACTGGAAGAGGGGTGCGGAAGGGAACAAATCCGAGGGCAAAAGCCGTCTCACCAACACATGAGCAACATGTCGGAGAAAAACCCTGTTGGCTCTGCTGCAGTGGAAGTGCCTCCTTGCGGAATCCGTCGCAGCCTTCGTTGGCTGCAGCCCTGCGAATGAGGTTTGTGAAATTATCAGGGCTACTCGGAAGAACCTGTTTAGGCTTCTCGGGGCATGCCTTGGTTCGCATGTGCTGACACAGTAGGGTCACAAATGCCAAAGAGCCCCGAATCCCAATCTTAATCCGCTCGTTCATCTCGTTTGAACATGAGATGTGTAACATTCAACAATTCAATGGTTGTAAGGTCCTAATTAGTCCTAGAACTCTGAACGTGCAGGAGCGGTTGAAAAGTCACGAAACTTTCGTTCAGCGCTAAGGCCGCAAGCCCCATCGCGCACGCACACACACACAAACAAACACACACACACACACACACAAACACACACACACACAAACACACACACACACACACAAACACACACACACACACACACACACACACAGACAAACACACACACACACATACACATACATGACTTGCACAAGAGCGCACGCGCACAGTGAGATCTGAATCCCGGGCAATTTGCAGATCCAGCCTGTAGAGACCGGCGAGCTGGAGCCAGTTTTCTGACCGTCTAGCGGTTTGCACCTGTTCCTGGAAGGATTCAATCCGCTTGCAGCCAATTAAACTTAAGCCTCCTTAACCCGAGATCATCTTAACTTCTTCAGATGTAGGCGCAATTTCGTGGGGAGGGGAGGGCGATGCGACCTTGCGGTACCCTCGTTCAATGGTCTCCGGTGGTTCGCAACTTCGAAAGTGTGGAAATTGGGAATCTCCGTCGTCGCACAGCATCTAAGCCCAGGTCAGCTAAGTGTGCGTGTGTGTGTGTGTGTGTGTCCAGGGAGAGTTGAAGTTGTCTTCTGCATTCGCCATCAGCAAGAACCATCAAGAACCGGGATCCGTTGTTCTGCCTCTGGTTGGCGCCCTTCGATCATTTGGACCTCCTCGTCTTGAGGGCTCAATCCTAAACAAGGCATGTACTTGCTAGTGGCTTGGCTTGTCCATTAGGGATCCAGGTTTAGGGTCGCAGCTTCATTTTGCCAGTTGGTGTTGCGAGGCCGTTCGTGTGTGCACGGTTGCTACCATGCATGGGACCGTCTAAATGTCACAGGTACGAGGTACCACCCCAAGGTCTTGTAATGCATTCGACTCAAACCTGTCGCAATGGTTTTGCCTAACAATGTGGAGCCCCTTAATAAGTAACATATGAACATTTACATGTATACAACCCGTTAGACATCCTGAAACCAGAAAAATTTGCTGAAGCACCACATCGCCCCAATTTTGACCTCCCAGCTGCCCTTTAGAGCCATGGCCTCCCACGCAGTCGACACATGGGCCGCAATGACACCTGGGGGGCTTAGGGCTTTTCCCTCCTAGGTTCAGGGTTTAGAGAGGAGATCGAAAAAGGGGGGCTCTGTTAGCCAGGGCAAAACACAACTCGCAGCAGGCGGGAAACACGCTGTCATGAAAGATGAAGCCAGGCTGGCTAGATGCGGAACGGTTTAAGCGAAATCGACTTAAATAAACCTTTACTTCCCTCCCGCCACTGGGCTGTGGAGATGGGGTCTCCGGAAATCCGTATCGAAGGAATTTGAGGATTTCGGGGCCCGTTGGGTTTGCGGTCCGAAATTTCTGAGAGGCCCGAATGAGGCCAAGTACATCAGAATCAAGTCTGCGTGGAATGAATCCTCATCGAAGACCCTATAATGGTGCTGTCTTGCAACCGCTATAGAAATCCTAACCCCTCCTTCTCCCTAAACCCTAAACCCCTACACCCTAAACCCCTATGTATATCCTAAACCCCTTTTACACCTGGACTACGCATATGCCAGGAACTGAGTAAATCCTAAACCCCTAAATCCTAACCCCTCCCCCCCGAAAGTTCATCCTCAAAAGACGGAAGCCGGTCGAGGAGCGCAGCCCTTCCTTGTCCGCAAGACGCCAGATCTGGGCGATCTTCGTGGAATCGCCTCCGGGACCAGGAAAGATGACGCTACGTATGGTTTAGGGCTTAGGGTTTTTTTGACACTCACACTCGGGCAAAGCCTGGCAAGGTCTGTAGCAATCCTGGTCCTTAGGGTTTTAGGGTTTTAGGGTGTAGGGCTATAACACTACCTGTAGCCGGAAAGACCTACCTTTTCTTTTGCAGGGTTGCTTAGTATTGTTTCTATATATAGTCCATCAAAAAGGTAGTTGGGCCACAGGTGTACTTATAGCTACCCAAGACCATCCAAGCAGCAAGCAACATGCCAAAGAAGGGTGAGACTAGCTTCGTCTTAAGAGCTATACTTTAGAAGCTGCCCCCACCCTGTAATAGTGACTATAAGGACTATATTGGGCCCTATTATGTTCCTATTATACCACTATTACAGGGTGGGGGCAGCTCCTAAGCTATACTTGCGCCCTCCGGATCTGTGCTGGGACCTCTGTCACAAGCCTCAGTCTGACGACCTGGAGTAGCAAGGATGCACCTTGTGGGAGTTTCCGAAAATATGGTACCCAAATATAGTACCCTAAATAACCTGATCCTCATTATACGGACCCCAAAACAAGGTACCCCTAATTTTTTGAAACTCCCTTGTGGCTCCAGTAATTAGTTCTGTTGAGAGCCGCAGCAGCAAATCCATACGACTGGTCTCTCAGGCATTGCTCTTACGAAAAGTCATGAAAAAAACACGGAGCCCTTGGTCGCTAATGTAGTGGCCTTAAGAATTAGAACAACGGGGTAGAATATACTGTAACTATAATAAGGAACCGGCAAAACCCTGTTCTAACTGCTACGGCCCGAGAATAGGGTTTGGGGTGTATTATACTATAATTACAATAAGGACCCCTCACAAAGATTACTTGGGAAATAGCACAGGGTTCGGTGGTATAACATACAACAACCTATACTTGATGAGGAACCGGCAACACCTCATTTTAATTTCTACCTAAGCCCCCAAAAGAAGGTAAAATAATAGCCCCAATACCCACAAAAGGCTATTATCCTACGTACTTAGGGGTCCAGGTAAGGCGCCTACGTTGATTGAGAGTTCGGGCGCACCGAGCCTGCTTCTTTTGCGCCATCGATCATCGCCTTGGCCAGCCGGCGGCCTTCGCAGGGCCATCTGAAAAAAGGTAATTTCCGAATCGAAAACAGGGGACCCTAATATAGTACCCTAAATTAGTAGGATAAGGACCCCAAAATAAAGGTAGCCCTAAATTTCGGAAACTCCCAACAGGACTCCCCAAAAGCCTTTTTTGAGTCCTCTATGGTCCTTACTAGTGGGTATTTGGGGTATATTAGAGGGCCGTTGGGGGGTCTAGGTATGGGATGTTCTGCGAACATTAGGATGGAGATGGTGCCGATGTTGTTCCCGCCGCCAGGAACCCCAAAATAGTACAGGTGATTGTTGAGGCCCCTGTAGTAGATGTGCTGAAATCTTCGGCCTTCGGTCAGGACCTCTTCCCAATCTCGTCGCAGTGCCACACCTCAGAAGCCAGGTTTCGGTCTTGCCGTCCAACTGCTATGGGGGAATGTCTCAAAGTCAGGGATCGGAATCCTCCCCGTTTACGTTGGGGAGGGGGGTGTCCTGCTGTTAAGGGTTCGACTATTTTTAGGGTCTACTTAAAGAGGCTCTGAGCAACAGAAGCCAGACTGCGATGAGTTAGCTCCCTTGGGGGGAGATGTTATTCACCATACAAAGCCGCTATCATACCCCGAAATCTGGATCCCCAGCCTTTCTCGTGCTCATGGGTGCATGCCGTTGCGACTTCTATACCAGAACCTTACCTTCAAGCGTCTTCGTACGTCTTTCAGCTGTGTTTCTGCCGTCTGGCAGAAAGATGTTGGGACCAGCTAGCATGGCGTGTAATGGCTCGAAATCCACCTCTCTCGCTGGCTGGCATGCGGATGCTGGCATCCGCCGCCGTGCACGGGGCCTGATGAGAGGCTGACTTTCTCTGTCCGTCTCTCTCTCTTTGTATCTCTCTCTCTCTCTCTCTCTCTTTGTCTGTCTTCCTATTTCTTTCTCTCTATCTTTCTATCTCTCTCTCTCTCTCTCTCTCTATGTTTTTCTGATTCTCTCAGTTCACGTCGAGACATGTCTCCTTGAGTGTGTTTTGCGTCGGGAGGCTGATCACCGCCACCATGGACTCCAGGTCCTTGCAGGGAAACTAATTTTCAGGCAGGATGAAAGCATATCACTTATGTCTACTGTCAGTTTTGCACGGATCTTGAGTCTCGCTGTCCTACTATCTGAGCACGACAACTAGAATCTAGAAGCAAAAAGCAAGTTTTCAAGAACTCAAGAACAAAACACCATAAATTTCATACGTAATTAAATCAAAGGCCCCAACTGACCATGTGCACTCGAGCTATATGTCCTTGCTAGAGAAAACATGAGCCTGCTCAATGTTTGCAGCACTCCAGGTTTCCTGCTATTTCAAGCCGGTGCATGGCTCAAGCTTTCAGGTTGCTGTGGGCTCTTGCAGCATGACGCAGACTGCCGTGTCATGCTAACAGAAGAATTGATGCTGCTAAACCCGGAGCCAATCATGGCGGGTTGAGGCTGGTGATGATGAAGATACAGACTGCGATAACGATACCAAGAGTTGCTTGCTGGTGGCAGTGGCTAGGCTGATACGGACCAGAATGCTTATGAAGCAAACGAAGATAGTGACGTGCAGGTGCTCACATGACGTGTGAGCACCGTCAGCAAGAAAACACTAGCGACAGCAACGTCAGCAAACGATGCATCGCCACTCTGTAGTTGCAATGTGTCTAGTCGACGGTACACCGTGCTCTGGGCGATGCTATACATACTGTGCACCGGCACAGCTGAAGCTGCAAGATGCCGGGATATACTGGGCGCAGCTGACCGGACCACGTGCCTCAGAACCTGTAGAATGCCTGTTCAGATTCCAGATACTACCGGACCCGAACACTAAGACAACCGGGCAAAACAAGCAGCCACAACAACCCCTGCGAGCTGTTGAGAGAATGCTGCAGAATGCAGAACCCAAGGCCATCGCAAACGCCGGGTTCTGTCCTTCGCTCCGCTGCGCAAGACTTCCAGAGACTGCTCCTGCAAGCGACGCACCTGGTCGTCGTTGTAGGAGGCTTTGCGAAATATGGTTCAAGAAGTCAGTAGGGATGGGTAATGCATGTAGTCATGAATTGCAAACCGGTAACTGTGGAAGCAGACCAGACGCCCACTCCTAAATGTCAACTACAACAGCTCGTCAAGATAAGCTTAAACGAGACAAGCCATTGGCAACAAGCTGGGGCAATGCACAGTGCAAGGACCCAACAACCTGACGAGAAACCCGAAGGGGGTCCTGGGCTCGGCACCTACTTCTGAGGGCGGTGCGGCACACTCGGTTAGAGCAATAAAACCAGGCAGCACACTATACCTGCAAGTAAAATTCATGCAGTGTGATACACATACGTACATGTGTAAATTCACGAATCACGGACCTCGGTCTGCAACATCACCCCCATCACCCCAACTCCCCCCCCCCCCACATTGCATGCTCGTTTACTCAAGCTGGCGGGCAAGCACCTGCCCTTTTTGCATCGGGACTTGTGCAATCGCCTGAACACAAGCACCTGCCCTAAACCCTTAATCCTTCAATGTGTGTGCCCCAAATTTTTCCGTGGCACACGCAGCTGCCCAAGCATCCTGCCGACTTCTTGGAAAGAACAGTCAGGGTTGGGTCCCGCGGATGGAGCTAGTGACACAGAACTGGAACTGTGTTTCGTGTTACATTTAACGAGCGTGAACACATAAATAAGGCTGTGCATTCATATAGTTGGGTACGTGCTTATACACGTGCCACACATACTGTATATATGTATATATTTTACATATACATATATATACACATAAATATAGATACATGTGTGTATAATATGTATACACACCTGCATATAGACGTGCATATGTATCGTGATCATGCTGGTAGCAAAGCGAAACCCCGTATGTGTAGAAATCCTTACAGGAACCCACAAAGGATCCCTTCATGGAAACCAAATACATCACCTCCAAAGGTCTCCTTGTTCAACCCCTACTTGTAGTATCCTTAAGGGAGGGGTGTCCAAGGGGGGTATATAGCCTAGTG